TATCTTTTATAATTATCACATATACGAATATATAATAAATTATTATTAAAGAAATTGATGTGTTCATCATTTATTTATGTCTCTCGAATAAATATTTGTTTTTAACTAATTAATTAATAAAGACATAATTTAAGTTGAGTAATACAAGCTCAAATTAAATTAGGTTTTGTTAGCATATTTAGTGTACAAGTTAGTTGTATATAAATAGACATAGTTTTTAATTCAGTTTGTATAGCTCAATTCATAATAGAATCTTTATTTTCTTATTCTATCTCCTTCTCTTCTCACTAAAAGTGTCTCACACACTAATAAATTGGTATCTAGAGCTTCTAGTTTGTGTTCTTGATTGTGTATTCAAGAACTTCATGTTGCTGGTCGTGTTTTCAAGAAACATGAATCAATCGCTGCAAAGCTGAATGGTACTAATGACATTCTGAATTCTCTTCCAACTCTTGACGGCAAGAATTGGATCCGATGAAGAAAACAAATGCAATCTCTGTGTGACTTTCATGAAATCCTAGAAGTGGTTACTAATGGCATTCATGCGCTTGGTGAGGATGCAATCGACTCACAGAGAGCCATCCATAAGGATACCAAGAAGAAGGATTGCTAGGTTGTGTATTGCATTCAATCAGCAGTAGAATTGGCAAATTTCGACATAATCTCTCAGGCTGAATCGGCGAAGGAGACATGGGACATTCTTGTTAAGTACTATGAAGGACGTAAGAAATTAAAGGTTTTTAAATTGAAGATTTGTGATGGCATTATGAATTATTGTCGATAGGAGAAGATGATAAAATTGCAAGCTATATGTCGAAGGTGTAGAATCTCGTCTATCTCATAAAAGATTGTGGTGAAACCCTAAGTGATAAGATGATAGTTGAGAAGGTAATATGTATGTTGATCTCTCACTTTGATCATGTTATCGTATCTATTCAAGAATCCAACAATCTTGAAACCCTAAAACTAAAAGATTTGGTTGGTTCGTTGGAGCCGCGTGAGATTAGAATTTTCAAAAAGAAAGGGGTTCAAGATTCGATACAAACTTTGCAGGCTCAGGCTTGGAAGAAGCATGGTGGTTACAACAAATTTAAAGGTAACAGAGACAAGACTCAAAAAAAGAAGTCATGGTTGAATTCCAATAAGTACAATGTCAATGATAGGGTTTCTGAATCCTCGAAAAGAGAAGAAGGAAACTCATATGAGAAAGACAAAGAAGAGAAAAAAGGTATGTAGTGTTATAACTGAAAAGTGAGGTCACGATAAAAAATTGTTGGTACAGGAACACAAGGGATCTCAAAAGGAAAGGATGAAAGAGCAAACCTTGTATGCCAAAATCCAGATGATTCTAATGATATGGTGGTTATGGCTGCAGTTTTAGATAACCATGTCGAATTCAAGATATGATTCCTCGACTCAGTCTGCTAGAATCACATGACTGGTCAAAAAATGTGGTTATCAGATTTCGACAAGTCGAAGAAGAGAAAGGTAAAACTTGTAGATAATAGCTCGTTGCAAGCAGAAGGTACTGACAACATAGTTTTTAAAAGGAGTAATGGAGTGAAAACTATGATTAAAGATGTACTCTATGTACCTGGAATGAAGTGAAATTTGCTAAGTGTTCGACAACTAATCGAAAAAGATTTCTTAGTGGTTATGAAAGATGGAGCTTTGGAAGAGTTCGGCAATCAAAATTATTTGGTCTTTAAATCTCCTTTGTCAAAGAATATGACATTTAAGACCATGATCAGTTCAACTGAGGTACAATGTTTGAATATAGTTGCCGACCACAAGAATAGTTGGTTGTGGCATTTGAGGTTTGGCCATCTGATCTTTAGGTCGCTCAATCAACTTAACACTCAAGATACGGTTATAGGTATACCATGTGTTTTGAAGCCCTACAAACTATGTGAAGGTTGCTTAGTAGGGAAGCAATCCAGAAATTCTTTCATTTCAGCTATGCCAATGAGATCCTCTTGTATATTCGAAGTTGTACATTCAGATGTATGTGGTACTTTTGAGGAGAATATCATTGGTGGAAATAGATATTTTGTTTTGTTTGTCGATGAGTATAGTTGAAAACTTTAGATCTATTTGATCAAGCAAAAGGACGAAGTATTCGAAATCTTTAAGAGATTCAAGATACTTGTCAAAAACCATAATGAAAGAAGATCAAGATTCTATGAACAGGTGGAGGTGACGAATACACATCCAAATTTTTTTAGGAGTTCTCTGTAGAACATATTGGCGGTCATGAGGTAACTTCTCCTTATACGCTTAAACATAATGGAATTGCAGAAAGAAGAAACAGGACCATATAAGATATGGCGAGATACATGCTGAAGCAGAAGAATTTGTGAAAATACTTTTGGGGTGAAGTTGTTTCCACTGCTATTTATATGCTAAATAGATGCCCTACCAAGAAATTGAAGAATAAGGTTCTTGAAGAAATTTGGAGTGGAAAATGACCATCAGTGAGTCAACTGAAGGTGTTTGGCTCTATGTGTTAAAGCATATTCTTGATGCGAGAAGAAAGCTCGATTACAGTAGTGAACCTATGATTTTGGTAGAATATCATAAAACTAGAGCATACAGGTTGTTTAATCCAATTAATGAGAATATTGAGATGGTTCGTTACATTGTGATTGATGAGAATTTTGTCTAGGATTGGAATTATGATGATGCAATTAACAAGTCATTGATGAGCTTTGGATTTGATGAAGAAACTAAGGAAGTCGAAGTCAAAAAAATTATTGATGTTTCAGTCGAAGTCAAAGTAGTTGCTAATATTTTCTACATTGTCGAATTTGAAGATGGTGTGGCACAAGCCAAATACCTCAAAGAACTAGAGTTCGTCCAATAAGACTTCAAGACTATGAAGTGATTGGTGATGATGAAGTAACACTATATGGAGAATTAGTTCATTTTGATTTACTTGCAGGTGCTTAACAAATCAACTATAGTGAGGCTTTAAAGAATAAACAATGGAAGTCAGCTATGGTCGAAGAGTTACAGGAAATCAAAAGAAACATCACATGTGAGTTAGTCGAATTTCCAGCACACACAAAAGCTATCAAAGTGAAGTGGATGTTCAAGTTGAAACACAATGTTGATGGTTTGATCCAACGTCGAGTCTCTTTTCCAAATCAAACTTCAAATGGAATGCAACGCGGGTGCTCGATCCAACGTCAAGTATCTCTTCCACTTCACTCAAATTCTTTCATAATTAATTTTAAATACATGATCTAACGTCAAGTCTTCTTTTCAAAAAACCATTTTCACAAGAAACTTGGAGTGAAAAAAGGATTGGTTGAGATCATTTGTTCCTCTGGTTCTCTAGTACTTGGATCGTTTGATGTTTTAGGCTTATGGTCTGATGCTTGTCCTCCATACAAAAATATCTTTTAAAAAGTGAATCTTGATTCACCTCACAGATTTCATAAAAAAATTGTGATGAAAAAGATTACTTGATCTCATTTGTTCCTACGATTCCCGAGTACTTGGATCGTTTATTGTTTTAGGCTTGTGGTCTAATGCTCGTCGCCCATATAAAAACAATCTCAACTCATCAAACATGTTTTCCCCCGTGTGCGACTTTGTAAACCTTTTCAGAAATAAGTGTGTTTTAGTCATTTCAATGTGAAACAAACAAAGGCTTTAGTCTCCAAGAGTGTGCAACAAGCAAAGATTTAAATGCTCGAAATGTCTAACACATCATTCTCTAAAATCAATCAACCAACATGTACTTTTCTACCTAGCACTACGTAGTCTAGAGTTCTCTATCACACCTGGAGATACGTAGGAGCAAAACCCAAAGCCTTGTCATGCCTAATAAACTATAAAACAAAAACCCTTCTTTTCTTTATTTCTCGCATAATAAATAGAAGATCTCAAACTATCGTACTAACACTAATTCACAAAACTAATTAAATGGGTGCCGTTGAGTACAACGGATGTGAGAGGTGCTAATACCTTTCCCTTGTATAACTGACTCTTGAACTCTCTTTTGATTTCGACGACCACTTCTTTTCTCGTGGGTTTTATTCAATATTTTTCCTATCCTTTGGAACAAATAAATTAGTGGCGACATCATTGTATTTCGAGCGTGCGAAACGCTCAGGTATTTTGCGCGCTGCGATAGGTAAAAAGGTCTTTATAAAAGCTGTTGCACAGGCTACTCCAAATTACATCATGAGTTGTTTCAAGCTTCCTGAGAGTTGTTGTGCTGAGATTAAAGCATTGATAGCTAAGTTCTAGTGGGGGCAAGAAACAGAGAAAAAAAGATACACTAGATGAAGTGGGAAAGATTAGCATTGTCGAAGCATATTGGAGCCATGAGATTCAGGGGCTTCAGGGATTTTAACATGATACTGTTGGGAAAATATTTTTGTTGTTTGCTGGTTGGGGAAGACTCACTCTTTGGAAGAGTCTTCAAAAGTTAGTACTTTTCCAGATGCTCAAGTCTCGATGCAAAGATTGGTTTCTCCCCAAGCTATTCCTGAAGGAGTATCCGCAATGCGGGAGAAGTTGTTAAGAAGGGTTAATGTGGAGGATAGGAGACGAATCCAAAGTGAGTGTGGAAAGATATTTGGCTAGATGGCGAAACATGCCTCAGTATTAAAAGCTCTATTAAAATCCTTGTGCCAGATGCTAAGGTGTGTGAATTAATTGACCCTGATCTCCACATGTAGAATATAGAGCTGATTGGCAGTTGCTTTGAACCGTATGGAGCTATGGAAGTTTGGAGCATTCATTTGTCCTGCAGGCAACACGAGGCATCATGAGGAAAATGGTGAATACTTGGTTCGGAAGAGTTTCTGTGGAGATTGGCTAGAAAGATCCTCCTAACACGAAGCAACTTGAACAAGAAAGGAATACGAGTTAAGAAGTGAAAAGTTACGCTAGTAATACGAGAATTAATCCAAAAACACTAAGACGATAACTCAAAAGCTACTCAATCTGTTAGGCATAGGAAGAGAATACAAGAGTGACATTAATAGTCATTTGACAGTGGGAGTTATCTTGTTGATGTTGGTTTCATCTTGGCCATTAGTAGCAGTAGCGTTACTCGTGATACCAATTACAAATTCTGACACATTCATCTCTCCTTTTGCATTCTTCCTTGCTGCTATCTGTTCTTTTGTTGACTTGTAATATGTTGCATACAATATCAGTTGTACAACCGCAAACAATGTCCCAATCCCATTCGGTATCTAGCAGAGAAATCATCCATTTTATAGAATAAGTATAAAGCTAGTATATGCCACAGTATATACATTTTAATCAAAGAATTAAGCATGGTAATTATAGTTAATATTCTTACAGCAATGAATGGATCAAAAGGGATGAGAGCATAAATGGTCCAAGACACTCCATTGCTAAATGAAGCCAAAGAGAGAAAAAACGGCATGAACTCAACGCTTTTGGTCTTGATCACCATTTTCTGCATGCATGCAAATTTCATAATTAAGCCAATATTAAGTTATTAACCAATTATTAGACATGATGTAGTACATATATACTACTAACCATGACGGATAAAGGTGAAGCATACATGGCAACATTGAAGAGCATGCAAATAGTTCCAACAACAGCAGAACGTTTGTTAACATTATGGATCATAGTCAATGAAACAAATGAGAGAAGAAAAATGAAAATAAGCTCCACGAGTAAACCAAAGAAAACTTTGAGTCTCTTTTTGCTGTCAGAATATAAGCACAAGGGATGCTGATAGCTAGATGGCACGGAGAATTATTACACAAATTCAATAATATAACAAAAATACAAACAAGAAAATCCTCCAAAAACATTTACTCAAGATATAGAACCACATAGATTGTTATAATTAAGAGAGGTAGTAATAGTAATTAAATATTAAAATTTTTGCAACTGGTTGATATTTATTTTATAAAATTATTAGAAATTTTAATAATCAATTTATTTGATCTCGAGTGGTAAACCAGCTTTTGATAAGGACAAAAATTTTAATTATATTATTAAACCTGATAAATAAACTTACATTGGGGACAAGAACATGCATCCCGCAATGATATTTCCTGAAATAAATAAATAAAATAAAAATAAAAGTGATAAATCAATAAGGTGTAGAAATTACTCATAACCTAAATAAACACCCACCTATGACGCCTACTACGGTTCGAGCAATTTCTGCGGTAGTCATGTTTTCTAGCAGAAGAAGAGAGAAAATAGATTTAGCTAATATGCTAAATGTAAAAATATGAGTCTATAAGAGTCTCACTATATATCGATGCGTGAGAATATAGTATAAGCTTATAGAAATGCATTAATTTAATGGTAGAATTTGGTAGATCATTTGTATTACATGATGCGTTGTGAGTTGTGAGGTTGTTTGTATTAAAGAGGTAATTTAGTATTTGTTATATTTAGAATATTCTCTCTTAGAGTCTATGTGACATTCTTATCTTTACTATTTTTGTGTATAAATAGGTGTACTAGGTTTCATTAATTAATACAATCTCTTTTCAATCATTTATAGCAGCTTTTATCATTAATTATTTTCTCTCTTCTTCCTCAATTTCATCACCTTGCACCAACAAAATTGGTATCAGAGCATTTGGTTCTTCTGAAATTCTGGGAAACACGAGTGAAAAGTGAGTTGTGTGTTTGATTTCTGTTGAATCTTCAACAAAATCTGAACAGAATCACATTGATTCTGTGGGTTTGGAAAACACTGAGTGAGATCTGAAATCTGAGATTTGTGCAAGGTTTAAGATGAGTGGAGACAATAGTTTGAACACTAAACTTTTAATTTTTGATGGCAAAAGCTGGAACAGATGGATGATACAGATGTGTGTGCTGTTTGGTGCTCAGGATGTTCTGGATCTTGTTACCAATAGTTATGTTCCAGTTGTAGCAGATGCTACTGAAGAACAAAGATCTGCAGAAAGAGCTACGAGAAAGAGGGATCAGAAAACTCTGCTCTATATCCATCAGTGTGTGGATGAAAGTGTGTTTGAGAAGATTGTTGATTCGACGACGTCGAAAGAGGCATGAGATATACGGGTCACATGTTACGGTAGTGACACGTCAGTGAAGAAGGTGAAGCTTCAGTCCCTGCGAAAGCAATATTAGAATCTCAACATGAAGAACAATGAGAAAGTTTCTGAGTACATCTTCAGAATGATTCTGATCACTAATGAGATGAAAGCTTGTGGAGAACCACTTTATGAACAGGTAATCATAGAGAAGATTCTGAGGTCGCTTACTCCTCAGTTTGATTACATTGTTGTTTCTATTGAACATTCTAAAAATCTGGAAACCATAAGAATAGAAGAGTTACAATGCAGTCTAGAAGCGCAGGAGTTACGTCTGACTGAAAGAACTTTTGAGAGGAAAGTTGAGCAAGCTCTGAAGGCTTCTTTTGTCAAGAAGGACCAGAAGCAGAATAAACATGGTGATAAATTCCAGAAGTCAGGAACCTCAACTTCTGATGAAAAGAAATATCAGAAGGGAAAGGAAAGGTATGGCAAGAAGAAGGTTCAATGTTACTGTTGTAAACAGTTTGGTCATTTTTCCAGAGATTGTAGAAACAGAGGAAGGAAATCAGAAGAAGCAAATATAGCCAGAGGAGATTCTGATGATGAACCTGTGCTATTGATGGCTTCTGATTCTGATGGAAAGTGTTCAGAAGATTGGTGGTATATGGATACTGGATGTTCAAACCACTCGACTAGGAACAAACAATGGCTGATAGACTTTGACTCCAGAAGGAGAACAAAGATCAGATGTGCTGATGATAAGTATTTTAATGCATAAGGTATGGGAAATATCAGAGTCAGAGTGAAGAATGGAAAAAATATTTTGATCAAAGATGTTTGGTATGTTCCTGAAATTAAAAGCAATCTGATGAGTGCGGGTCAACTCATTGAGAAAGGGTTCTCAGTTGTTATGAAGGACAACCTCTTGATGTTATATGATTTCAATCAGAAGTTGATTATGAAATCTGAACAGCGAAGCAACAGAACATTCAAGGTGAATGTAGAAACAACTGAAGCAGAGTGTCTTAGTGCAGAAGGCGCTGAAGGTGATAGTAAGCTATGGCACAAGAGGTTGGGGCACTTAAACTATTGAAGCTTAGGGCATCTAAGTTCTAAGAAGCTTGTACATGGCATTTCGAAGATTGTGAAGCCTCAGAAGTCATGTGAGATATGTATGAAAGGAAAGCAACCCAGATTGCCATTTACATCAGAAGTAGCCCCCAAAGCGAAGCATGCTTTGGGAGTAGTATATTCTGATGTGTGTGGACCATTTCCAGTACCTTCACTTGGAGAAAACAAATATTTTGTGTCTTTTGTGGATGAGTTCACGAGAATGATATGGGTAACACTCATCAAGTTCAAGCATGAAGTGTTTACTGAGTTCTAGAAGTTCAAGGTGAAGGTTGAGAAGCAGAGTGGTCAGAAGTTGAAGATTCTGAGAATGGATGGTGGAGGTGAGTATAACTCTACAGAGTTCCAGAAGTTTTGTGAGGAGAATAGAATAAAACATGAGATTACTGCTCCATATACTCCTCATCACAATGGTCTTGCTGAAAGAAGAAACAGAACTTTGCTTGATATGACCAGAAGTATGCTGAAAGAGAATAAGCTACCTCACAAGTTATGGGGAGAAGTCGTTGCCATATCAGCATATGTTCTGAATAGGTGTCCAACGAAGAAGCTGGAGGAAATTGTTCCTTTAGAAAAGTGGACTGGAGATAAGAAAAGTGTTAGCCATCTAAGGGTGTTTGGTTTTGTATGCTACAAACACGTTCTAGAAGCTAGAAGACGGAAACTGGATGATAGAAGCAAAGTAATGTTACTGGTGGGGTACCACATTACAGGTGCCTATAAGCTTTATTGTTAAGAAACCAACAAAGTTGAAATCAGCAGGGACATTATCGTGAAAGAGTCAGAAACATGGGATTGGAACAAGCCTCAATCAAGTTCTGGTGTAACGCCAACACCAGAGTTAGTTTATGAAGATTCTTCAGAAAGTTCTGAAGACAAGTCAGAGTCAGAAGATGAATCTGATTCTGAAGACTCTGAAGATGAATCAGAATCTCAGGGAGATTCTGATAGTGGATCTGATTCTGATCCAGATTTTGATGATTATCCAAAATCTGGTGGTGATTATATTTCTGAAAGAGAAAACTCTGAAGACATAGGATCGGGAGGACAAGCTTCCAGAAGTAACTTTAAAGGTGGTAATTCTGAAGGAAGTAGTTCTGGACAAGGTCCAGAAGCTACTACTGTTCCAAATTTTGTAGAAGCTTTAGAACAAGTTCAGAGGCCACAGAGAGTCACACAAATACCAAGTAGGTTTGCAGATTTTAGCATGTTGCATGATACTGAAGTAGATTCTGAAGGAGAAGTCGTTCAGTGTGCCATGTTAGTAGATTCTGAACCAGTAGGTATTGAAGAAGCTCTCAAGAAGAAAGAATGGTTGAACGCCATGAAGGAAGAACTTGAGGTTATTGAAAGAAACAAAACTTGAGAGTTGACAAAGCTTCCAGAAAAAAAGAAAGCCATCAGCGTCAAATGGGTTTTCAAGGTGAAGCTTAATCCAGATGGATCAATTAGCAAACACAAAGCGAGACTAGTGGCTAGAGGTTTTCTTTAGAAACTTGGGCTAGATTACTTTGAGGTGTTTGCGCCTGTAGCTAGACATGACACAATCAGACTGGTGATTGCTTTAGCTGCAAACAAAAATTGGCCTTTGATACATCTGGATGTGAAGTCTGTATTTCTGAATGGTCTGTTACAAGAAGAGGTATATGTGTCACAACCTCCTGGATTTGTGAAAAATAATCAGGAAGGGATGGTATACAAGTTACATAAAGCCTTGTATGTACTGAAACAAGCGCCCAGAGCTTGGAATCTGAAAATTGATTCATTTTTCAAGAGGCAGAAGTTTCAGAAATGTGAGATGAAATATGGCGTGTATGTGCAGCATTCTGGTGGCAATATGATTCTGGTGTGTCTATATGTTGATGACATATTGCTAACAGGAAGTTGTCCAGAAGATCTAATTAAGTTCAAAGAAGTTCTGATGAATGAATTTGAGATGACAAATCTAAGAAATATGGTATATTTTCTAGGAATGGAGATTTTGTACTCAAAGAAGGGTATCATTCTACATCAGCTGAAGTATGAACTTGAACTTCTAAAGATATTTAAGTTGTAGAATTGTAAAGTTGATGTGACACCATCAGAAACCAATCATAAATTGGACTCTGATTCTGATGATGATTATGTGGATGCTACAACCTTCAAACAGTTGGTTGGTTCTCTCAGATACTTGTGTAATACCAGACCTGACATTTGCTATGCAGTTGGAATGGTTAACAGATTCATGAGTAAATCAAAGTGGTCTCATTACCAAGCTGCTGTCAGGATTCTGAGGTATATCAAGGGAACTCTGAAATATGGAGTGTTATTTCCTTCTGGAAGAAAGACAGAACCAGAATTAGTGAGCTATTTTGATTCTGACTGGTGTGGAGATAGAGTTGACAGAAGAAGTATTTCTGGTTACTTGTTCAAGTTTATGGGAGGTCCTATTTCTTGGAGTTTCAAGAAACAGCCTGTTGTGGCTCTGTCAACGTGTGAAGCTGAGTACATTGTAGGTGTTGTAGCTGCATGTCAAGCTGTTTGGCTTCTGAATCTTCTGTAGGATTTGAAGATTGAGATAGAGAAACCTCTGAAATTGTTAATTGATATCAAGTCTGCAATCAATCTTGCCAAGAATTCAGTGCTGAATGGAAGAAGCAAGCATATTGAGATGAAGTATCATTTTCTGAGAAGTCAAGTGCAGAAAAGAGTGTTAGAAGTTATGCATTGTAGCACCTAGAAACAGTTGGCAGAGATGTTCTGACGAAGGCAATCAAAACAGACCAATTTTTTCATTTGAGGAATGAAATTGGTGTTGTTAATTTTTGATAGATACTAAATTAAGGGATGGTATTAAATGGGTAATTTAGTATTTGCTATATTTGGAATATTCTCTCTTAGGGCTTATGTGACATTCTTATCTTTACTATTTTTGTGTATAAATAGATGTAATAGATTTCATTAATTAATACAATCTTTTTTTAATCATTTATAGCAGCTTTTATCATTAATCATTTTCTCTCTTTTTCCTCGATTTCATCACCTTACTCCA